GAATGTGTCTGTTGGCCATCTGGATGTCTTCTTTGCAGAAATGTCTGTTCATGTCTTCTACCCATTTCTTGATTGGATTCTTTGTTCTTTGGGTGTTGAGTTTGCTAAGTTCTTTATAGATTTTGGACACTAGCCCTTTATCTGATATGTCGTTTGCAAATATCTTCTCCCATTCTGTCAGTTGTCTTTTGGTTTTATTAACTGTTTCCTTTGCTGTGCAAAAGCTTTTGATCTTGATGAAATCCTAATAGTTCATTTTTTGTGCCAGGATAGTTCTATTGCTTTACCTGTACTAGGTCATTTAATGCATACAACAAATCACAAGGTAGGTGGACAATTATTACTTCCATTTTACAGATGATGGCAGAAACTGAGTCAGAGCCAGAACCAAAAACAAAAACCAGTAAATGGCAGAACCAGGATTTAAACCCAGACCTGTTTATTTATATTTTTTTCTATTTATTTTTTTCTTCTCACATCAGTTTAAGTTCATTTGAGTTCCCCATCTCTTTGGGCTACAATTTTAATCATTAGTGGGGGAGATGGGGGTTCCCTTCCAGGGGTTGTGCAAAGGTCCTGAGGTGTTCCCTTTCTGGGGTTAATCAACAGGTGATGTTGCCCTCTGGTAATATGTTGACTTCGATCATTGCTAAGATGCCCACTGACACCACAGCACAGACCTCCAAGTCTTCGGGCTTTGTGGCCTCTGTGTCAGGTCTGGGATATAGGAAAACTTCGTGAATGCTTTTTACCCATTGGGGGCCATTCCAAGGTTCCATTCCAGGCCCTTGAGGACCACAGGAAACAATAAAGTACTAGGGTTAAGATACTGGCTCTTGGAGCCAGATTGCTTGGACTTGAATCTTGGCTTTGTACTAGAAGTTAGAGACTTTGGGTGACTGTGAGAGTTACTTTACCACTTGTACCTCAGTTTCCCAACCTGTAGAATGGGAATAATAGTATCTACTTATAAGGTTATTTTAAGGATTAAATGAACACACACAGACACCCATTTGCATACATACATGTGTATGTATATATATATAAATTTTTTCATGAAAGTATCTGGTTCATAATAAATACTTTGAGTTACATTGCTGTAATGATTTTTATCAATCCACTTGAATTGTAGTCTGAAAGCAGACACACACTCCTTTCTTGTTCTACGGCTGTTACAGGAACGCCATATGGAATACTGCTCCTAGCTTCGCACATGCCCTTTTCCTGCTCCCCTCCCCTCCACTAGCATCTCCTCTCCTCCTCCAAACTAAATGAAAAAGTTTAGTTTTTTAAGGCTAACAAGAGCTGTAGACTTTCAGCTTTTGATTCTTATTCTTTGAGGACCAGGCGAAAATCTCAGAGGAAAGGAATTACAGTGTTTCAAGGGGGTGGCTAGGAGTAGAATAGGTAAAACAAGCTCACACACTCCATTTATCTTGCCTCAAGGGCCATGACGGAAAGGTACAGGACAAACAAAAAGGTAGAACACATTATCCTCGCAACAACTCCATGAAGCAGGTGTGTGATATTCCACCAGGAGTACAAGGCAGGAGGATCTAAACTAGGCTTCTGGGGGTGGGAGAGGCTGGGGGGGGGGTCAATTTAGGCACATAGACTCTTTGAAGTAACAAATCAACAACAACTAGAGAGTATAATTTTGAAAATGGCAAAGAAAACCCACCAACTAAACACACAAATATTTTCATCTCTCCATTCTTTCAGTCCCTACACATGGCCATGTTTTGACATGATTGTAATCATGGCATACAGACCATTTTGCATGGGATTTTTTTTTGTACTTAATGCATTATCATTGGCCTTTCCCCATGTTTCCATCTTCATCATTAGCATTTTCAACTACTACAAGAGATTCCTTGTTAAGTGAGCGATGATTTGCTCAGCTCTTCTGTAGTTGGGCTGCGGTGCTGTCCACTCCTTCGGTCTCATAAATAACGCTGCTGGGCAGCCTTTTCCAAAGAGCTCTTGACTTATGCTGAATCCAAAAGATACATTCACAGGGGCCCAGAGGTTGTGTGTTGAGAGGTGGTGTAGTAGGAAGACCATGGGACTGTGGGTCACACAGAACTGGGCTGAAATTCTGGCTCCATTTCCCTGTGGGACCTGTTCCCCAATTCAGTGTTTTTGACTGCGGATCAAGACTTACTACCTGCATCAATCAACTGTCTCAGTTAGCACAAAGGAAAAAAAAAAAAAAAGAAAGAAAGAAAAATGGAAGAGAGTACATTACCCATGGAATTGTTTTGTTAAACATCTCCTTAAATATACGCATGTGTATACTGGGTTGTGATCTAAAATGTATTTTTTTTTACTCTTGCAGGCAAAATGCCCTTTCAACCTTTCTGGGTCCCCTCTCCCCCATGTAGAAAGTGGGACAGTAATCTGAGCTTCCTATTACGATCAGGGGTTGGCACATCATCCATCCACCTTCATCTCTAACGCCACCACCCTAGCCCCAAACATAAGGCTTGCTGGGAAACTGACTGCAATGTCTCCCTAACCAGGTGCCCTTTCTCCACCCTGCCCCACTACAACTCATTCTGAACCCAGGACGAGTGACGGTCTTAAGAGCTAATTCAGATCGTCTCATTCCTCTGTTTAAATTCTTGCAATGGCTTCCCATTTCCTTATCCCACCAACCTCACCAGGCCCATAAGGTCCTCCATCCAGCTCTCCTACCTCCCCTCTCTCACCCTCCTTCTGGCTCCGTCAAGCCCTGAAGCAGGGCCTTTGCCCTTGGTGTTCCTTCTGGCACGCCGTTCCTGCGCATCTTCCCGCGCCCGTCTCCCAGCCATGGTCCAGTTCTCTGCTCAAAGATCGTCTTCTTAGGGGCGCCCTCCGGTACAGTCCATCTCCCCGGTTTCCACGCTTTGGTCCATTACCCTTTTTTATTTCCCTTCTCAGCTCCTGCTGCTCTCTGGAACGGTGTTGGCTCATTTCTCATGGCCTATTCACGGCCTCCCCAATAGAGCTGTGGACCCAGGAGGGCACAGAAACGTGCAGTTCGGTCCCGCCCAGGCTGAGCCCACCAGCCCCGCGAGGGTCTCGGTCCTGCCAGGACCCGGCCGCGCCGGCGCCCGTGTTTACCTTCCGGGTCGGGGGGCGGGTCCGTGGCGGCGGCGCTCCACTTCCGGGGCGGGGCGGGCGGGCGGGGCGGGGCGCTGTCTCCCGGCCTGTCTGGAGCCCGGCGGCGGCAGTGGCGGCAGTGGCGGCAGTGGCGGCAGCGCGGCGCAGGCACCGGCCCGGGAGCGGCACCATGAGCGGTGAGTGGCGGCTTTGCCGCTGTCACCCGGCCTGGCTGCCCCGGCTCCCGCCGCTCCAACTGCACACTCCGGCCCCCGAGTCGCGCTCGCTCGCAGACCCCGGTCGCGTCTCTCGCAGACCCCCAGACGCGCGGGAGCTGGCCCCCGGTCACCTGCACTTCTCTGGCGTCCCGAGTCCAGGCACTCCCAGTCCCCTGCGTCCTGTCCACCTCTTACCACCGGCTCCTGGACACCTGTCCGCAGACTCCCAGTCTCTCCCAGTCCTCTGACCCTCTCGCCGGATCACCAGTCTCCGCGTCCTCAGACCTCCCGGCTCTCAGTCCCTCTTAACTCAGGGACCCCCCCCCCCAGTCCCAGGTCCAGTTCCGGGCCCCCCAGCTCCGCCGTCATTCCCATTCCCATTTCCCAGGCCCCTGGTGTGCAGTCGCTCCAGCCTGCACACGGGTAGGGTGTCGTCTCTGCACACTCTGAGTTGGCTGACCCCTGAACCCCGTGTCCCCCGTGGCTCTCGGTCCCCAGAGGACGGTGGGTTCTCCAGCCTCTTTGTCTTCCCCGCCCCTCCCATTCCCTCGTGCCCTGTCCCCCGGTGCTTTGCTGTTCCAGTCCCCAGTGGTTCCCAGTTACGCTCTCAGTGTCCCTCTCTGGTCCTTGCTTCTTAACGTTTTGGTCCTTTTTTTCATACTCCCGCCCCTTTGAGTTCTTTTCCTAGCTCATTTGAGGTCTCCTTCGCCCGGTCCCGCACCCCTTCCCTCCTTGTTCCATACTGATCCCATCTGGGAACCATCGCGTGGCCCTTCCCGGCCCACCCTCCTCCCGCTCTCCGGGAGGGAGGGGTGTGGTCTTTGGTGGGGAGGCCGGGAGTGGGAGGGAGGTGGGTGTGGACAGCTTGTGCTCAGTGTTTCTGAAGTTTAGTCCCCAAACTTGGACGTGTATTCTCAGCTCTTCTCTGAAGCGATCTACGGGTGTTTTGGTGCTAAGTCATTCCTGGATGTTGTGTGTGTGTGCAGAGTGACTCCGGGAAGCCTCGCAGCCAGCCCTTACTGGGATCTGGATTTCCTTAGGAACACCCGCCTACCCTCACCCTGCCTGCTTTCCTCTTGCTGTGGAGTAGCCTCTGAAGAGTCCTTGCATCCAGCTCCCTTGGCCCTCGCCTTTCACTCAGGCGGTTATGGAGGTTGAGGAGGAGCGGGAGGGCAAGGCGAAGGGGCTGTGTCTCTCTTAATTTTTAACTTTTGAGTTATCTCCATGGATTTTTTTTTTTTTTTAATTTACAAGTCATGCGCCTTTTGTTTTGATGTTCAAAGAGCAAGTTTTGTGCACTTTTTGGTCCTAATGAGGGAGCTGGGAAGGGGGTTTCCTGGGAGATAGTCCAGCTTCTGTTGTCAGAGCAAATGATTTTTGGCCTAATTAAATTTCTGGTCCTTGAACATTAGTGATCCTGCAACAAAGAGGTAATGAGCTGGTTTCCACCCAGAAGGTCGTACAGCCTGGTTTAAGTGCAGGCCTGGAGCCAGACAGCCTGAGTTCAGATCCTGACTCTACTCTATAAAACTGTGTGATACGGAGTGAGTTACTTGACCATTCTGGAAATCCCAGCAAAGTGGGGGTAAATAGTCGTACCTGTCACCTAGGCTTATTGCAGTGCATAAATAACTTTATTTAGGTAAAGTTCTTGGTACTGTTTTACATGGTATGTACATAGGGACTTAGACCAGTTGCTGTTTCCTTAAGTACCCAGCTGGGGCTCAGGTGGGTTTGTTTTCTGACTTAGCTCTGGGACAAGGGTTGGGGCTAAGTATGCCTAGAAAATTCCTTGCTTTTATTTTTTAAAAATCATTTACATTCAATTAATTAGCATATAGTGAATTATTAGTTTCAGAAGTAGAGTTTAGTGATTGCATATCACACCCAATGCTCATTCTATGAAGTGACTTCTTTTTTTTTTTTTTAAAGATTTTGTTTATTTATTTGACAGACAGAGAGGCAGGCAGAGAGAGAAGGGGAAGCAGGCTCGCTGCTGAGCAGAGAGCCTGATGCGGGGTTCAACCCCAGGATCTTGCAACAAAGAGGTAATGAGCTGGTTTCCACCCAGAAGGTCCTACAGCCTGGTTTAAGTGCAGGCCTGGAGCCAGACAGCCTGAGTTCAGATCCTGACTCTACTGTATAAAACTGTGTGATATGGAGTGAGTTACTTGACCATTCTGGAAATCCCAAGGCAGAGGCTTTAACCCACTGAGCCACCCAAGCGCCCCTATGAAGTGCCTTCCTTAATGCCCATCACCCAGTTACCCCATCCCTCCACCCCCCACCTGCTTTGGCAACCCTCAGTTTATTTCCTATAGTTAAGAGTCTCCTAGGGAAAACCTTTTGCTTTTTCATATGACCAAGGAGACTCTGCCTCAAGCTCAGGGTTCTGGACCATTCTCCTGCCTTGATCTTAGGAAGTGAAATTGACAAGCCAAGGGAAATTGATCAACGCCTGCCTCCAGAACCAACTGGATACCAACAATAACAAAATATTAAAATTTGACTTAAAAAACCATTGTAAAAAAATCATTATGAAAGGAAACCAACAGATGGCTTTTTTAGGAAAAAGCGTTCAGGACGAAAGCCTTCTTTTGGAAAGTCTGTAATTGAGGCAGAAAAAGTGATTGCTGAGGACAGAAGGGAGGTCCAGGGTATTTTCAGTTTTTTCTTTCCCCCAGTTTTATTGAGAAGTAATTGACATGCATCATCGTGTAAGTTTCAGGTGAACAGCATGATTGACATATATTGTGAAATGATTCCCACAAAAGGCCCAGCTAACATCCTTCCTCTATGGATGCAATAAAAAGGAAAGAAGAAAGGAATGTAAGATTTTTTCTTTGTGATGAGACTGCTTAGGATTTATTCTCTTAACTCCTGTGTTAGTCATCATGTTGTATGTGACATTGCTAGTGCTTATTTATTTTATAACTTGGTAGTTTGTGCCTTTTAAACTTTTTCCTCCAATTACCACCTTCACGTGTCTTAATACAGTTGAAACAGGGTCTTCCCACCCTTGGGATTGATGATCAGCATACAATACAATAATGTTGCATGGAGGTATTTACTCTCTTTCCTCTGTTCTTTTTTTCAATAGAAAATTTCAAACATCTCCAAAGTGGAGAAAATAGTCTAGAGAGCATTTACCATCTCATGACTGTCCCCTATATAACTATCTTTCTTACCTCTGTCCCGAATTTATTTTTAAACAATTTTTTCTTTTTAGATTTCATTTATTTGACAGACAGATCACAAGTAGGTAGAGAGGCAGGCAGAGAGAGAGAAGGGGAAGCAGGCTCCCTGCAGAGCAGAGAGCCTGATGTAGGGCTCTGGGATCATGACCTGAGCTGAAGGCAGAGGCTTAACCCACTGAGCCATCCAGGTGCCCTCCAAGTTTATTTTGAAGCAAATCCTGGACATTGTATCCTTTCATCTATAAATATTTTAATATGTATCTTTAAAAGATAAGGACTCTTTTAAAAAAATAGCTCAATTTCATTATTATACTTCTCAGAAATTAGCAGTAATTCATTAATATCATCAGGTATTAAATGTTCAAATTTCCATAATTGCCTTATAATTTTATAGTGTGTTTTTTAGACTCAGGATCTAAATAAGGTTGAAACAATGCAAATTGGTTTGCTTTTTAGTCCTCTCTCTTTTTTAGTTTAATTTTTTTTTTTAAAGATTTTATTTATTTATTTGAGAGAGAGACAGTGAGAAAGAGCATGAGCGAGGAGAAGGTCAGAGGGAGAAGCAGACTCCCCATGCAGCTGGGAGCCCAATGTGGGACTCGATCCTGGGACCCCGGGATCATGACCTGAGCCGAAGGCAGTCGTCCAACCAATTGAGCCACCCAGGCGTCCCTAATTGTTATTTTTTAGTGTTTAGTATATTCACAGAGTTGTGCACACATCACCATAATCAGTTTTAGAACATTTTTGTTAGTCCAAAAAGAAACCCCTGTACCGGTTAGCAGTGGTTCCTCATTCTCCCTCCTCTTAGCCCCAGGCAATCACCAGTCTGCTCTATCTCGCATTTACCTGTTCGGAATATTTCATATAGATTGAATCATACAATACATAGCCTTTTGCATCTGGCTCTTTTCACTAAGTATTGTGCTTCTAAGCTTTATCGTACTGTAGCATGTAACTATAGTTCATTCCTTTTTTTTTGAATACCGTTTCACTGTATGAATATTCTATATTTTGTTTAACCATTGTTAATGGTTGATGGACATTTGACTTGTTTGCACTTTTTGGCTCTTCTGAATAATGCTGCTGGGAACATTCACGGACAAGTGTTTGTGTGGGCCTGTGTTTTTATTTCTCTCGGGTCCATATCTAAGAGTAGAATTGCTGGCTCTGTTTGAGGAACTGTCAGACAGTTTGCCAAAGGCTGCACCATATTCCATTCCCACCAGCGCTGTATGAAGTATGAAAGTTCTGGTTTCTTCACATCCTTGTCAACAGTCTTTTTGATTATAGCCATTCTAGTGGAATGGTGAGATGCTATCTTTTTGTGGTTTTGATTTGCATTTCCTTCATGATCAATGATGTTAAGAGTCTTTTCATGTGTTTATTGGCTGTGTTTAGCTTCTTTGGAGAAATGTTTGTTCAGATCCTTTGTCCATTTTTTTAATGGACATTTTAATGGTCCATTTTTATTTTAAAAATAAAGTTTTTATTTTTTCATTATGTTCAGTTAACCAACATATTACTTTAAAATTTTATTTATTTATTTAACATATAGTGTATTATTAGCCCCAGGGGTACAGGTCTGTAAATGGCCAGGTTCACACACTTCATAGCACTCACCATAGCACGTACCTTCCCCAATGTCCCTACCTTTGTCCATTTTTAAATTGGGTTTTTATTGTTGAGCTGTAAGAATTCTATTCTATGTAATTCCTGGATATAAGTCTCTTAGATCTATTACTTATAAAACTTTTCTCCCATTTTTTTTTTTTTTCTTTC